ACCGTCGGCGTGAACAGCTGCTTTAAGAACAGATGAGTAAAATATTTTTAACACACCAAATATTCACATGGATTTTACACGTCCAGTAGGCTTGGGCGATATGCAAAAGTTTATACCCGACAATCGTCAGTCCAATAATCAATGATGGGCAATATATTTGCACATGTGCAGATTTTTTGATGGGCAAAGCAATGTAATCATGCACGGACTGATTTGCACGTTTACAACACAGAAGAACTCCAACTAATTTCCCCCCCAAGAAATTAGGGCTGTCAGCGTTAATGCGGTCATCACTATTAACACGATTTAAATTTTTAACGCGCTCAACCCATCTGGAGCGCAGAATGAACAAACCTTGGACAAACTGCCCGAAATGCATTGACAGATTCATTTCAGGGATTTTGACTCAGACTGTGCTCCAGATGGGTTAATTTTTCCTCTTGACTGCTTCTATTAGATCCACCATTTAACTTACTCAAATAAATAAATAAATTGTAAAAACGATCAACGATGGGCTTAGCCTTATGTCGAGAGTCAATATATTCGGCCAGTCACCCAACCCTAACGTCCAGCCTCAAGCTGATAGGCGTCAATCTGTGTTCTTGATTGTCTTTAGATCGTGGCACAATATCTTACTTCTTGAGATTTTTTTAGCCTGCTTCACTTTTTCAGATAGACTCTAAAAGTCTTGTTCTGGCTGTGATCAGGCCTGGGTGTGGTTATCTGAAATTAAACTCAGCTTTCCAAAGAACTTGGTTAATCATAGTTAATTTAATAGTATTTTCACACCTGTGCTATTTAGGCTATTTCGATCAAACTCTTGTTCATTTCCCCCCTCAGTGCAGTTTGTTTTTTGCAGATTTGGACTTGTTATTGTTCCAAGCGAACTCCAGAGTGGTTCGTTTACAGTGTGAACATGATCCGACCTCGATCTGAACCAACTACCAGGTGTATGTTACAAGTCTGAGCTAAAAAAAATATAAAAAAAAAAATAAAAAAAACCTCCTGTAGAGGAACTATAGATGTGCAAAGGTCTGTACGGGCTAGCCCCTAGCAGTATTGTGTTCTCCAATAGTCTAGAACATAGCACCTTCTTCCTGCTGCCACAGACACATCTGGCCAATAAGCCGACTGAACAGTCTCATGTGGTTTGTAGTAAGGCATTTGGTGCAAAAACAAACCAGATCATTAGGAATAGATCCAAGTGTAAGAACTCATCATTTACAGGTGTGAAAACACCCCAAAGTTTAAGAATTGTGGGTGGGGCTTTTTCCACATAGAGCCAGGTAGGGTTGGACAGCTTTTGTCTAATACTAAAATCTGTTTGATGATCTGAAACATGTCAGTGTGACAAATATGCCAAACTCCATCCTTACACAGCTCCTCTGTGACTTACTATGTCCTTCAGGGCCTGCGTGATGGTCTGACTTGTGTTCCCTCCTTTCATAATCATGGCACTCTTCACATCTTCAGTCAATTTGGGTGCTCTGCTCTCCAAGAAGCGTTTTGAGCGCTTTGTCTTCGGTTTTCTGAGGAAGAAAACACAAGGGAATATAAGAAAGATGACAAACTGCACACAAGGCAAACTATCAGAAAATCAAACCGGTATTTCTGATTGGTTGATGACCTAAAAATGTACTTCAATTAGCCAATACAGATATTGTTTCTGTTCATCTTGTTTCCGATCTTCCTCTTTCTTTCAGAGACACGGGGAAATCATCTTCATAAAATAACTTCACTGTCTGAATGTCTTCTAGCTTGACAACAAACTATCTTAAAACTTGGAGCATTGTTTCAGAGCAGCCCTGATGTGAATCAATACATCTGCCAATACATTAATAGATGCCTAAGAATAATGCTATGTTTAGAATAGAGACTTTATGTGCACAGCGCTGAAGAAATATTAACCAAACTTGTATGCAATGCCAGTATGTACCAAAACATAATGCACTGAAAGTAAGATGGTAACCTTAAAAAGTTTAGTTTCAGCAGAGAGACTGGATACAAAAACAAGACATTTAAATGAGTTTGTTATTAATTATATTAATATGATTGCCTTAAACATAAAATACTCAAATCGAGTGTAACTCAGACCGTTAGACCCTGAATTTTAGGCATAACACCACTAATCTCACAGCACATTAAAGACGAACATGAGGCTGAGAGATAGGGAAATCGATTTGATTATGCGCTTATGTAGAAATATGGGGTGTCTCCAAATCCTTTGTGGCATCTGAAGATCGGACAATGAGATGCCACAGAGGCATGGCACAGGGAGATGCCACAGAGGCATGCCGATTCCACGACGGAGCTAGTTGCAGTTAGCCGACAGCTAAAGGTTAGAAGCTTTGCCATAAACAGCACATTCATAAAACGATACATAGCAACACTTCCCAGGCCCCCCAAAGCGAGAGTCCACACTTACATTACAGAATCCAACTGCGTCATTGTATATGTATTTTTATTCCTAATCGCTAACGACCACACTAATTAAGAAACACGTGAAAACGACAAGAGCGACGATTTTCTTCTTCGATCATATTTAACAAAAGAAACCCAACTCAAAATACTGCCATCAAGTGGTCATCTGCTGATGGCCTTTTAAACTCTGAAGGCAGATCCCATCCCCATATCTGATCAGACTGTACAAGAAGTTCAGATTGTCATTTCTCACTCCAAAAACAAAAAATCTCCTGGAATAGAGTGCCTCTTGACTAAATTTTCAAATTCAAATTCAAATTTTATTTGTCACGTACACAGTCATACACAGTACGATATGTAGTGAAATGCTTGGACAACTGCTCGTGACCTAAAGAAAACAAAAAAAGGAAAAGGCTATGAATAAGATAGGAAATAAATATGAAAAATTAAAAAGGGTAAATTTAACTAGGAAGGAATAAAATATAAATTAAGGTTAAAAATGAAATAACTGTACAACACAAATTAGAATGAAGGGTAAATTTAACTGGGAAGAATAAGATAAAATATATAAATTAAAGTTGAAAATAAAATAACTGTACAACAAAATACACAATACACAATATAGAACTATATAAGAATGTATGAAGAAATCTAAATATAAATAAATATATACACAATAACAGCAGCTGTACAAGTATTAACCGGAAATGAAGAATATAGTGACCAGTGTTGTGCAAAAAAACAATGTGTGCAAAAACAATGTCCAGAAAGTCCAGTGTGTGTGTAAGAACCATATGTGTGGGTCAGTACTGTGTGGTGGTGTGATTGAGAGACCGTATCGCCTGCAGGAAGAAGCTCCTCCTCAGTCTCTCTGTGTTGGTCTTCAGGGAGCGGAATCGCTTTCCTGACCTCAACAGAGAGAACAGTCCGTTGTTGGGATGGCTGAGGTCCTTCACGATCTTCCTGGCCTTGGTCCAGCACCGCCTGCTGTAGATTGAGTGCAGGTCAGGGAGCTCGGAGCGGATGGTGCGCTCAGCTGACCGCACAACCCTCTGTAGAGCTCGTCTGTCCTGCATGGTGCTGTTCCCGAACCAGGTTAAGATGTTTCCCGCCAGGATGCTCTCTATGGTGCACGAGTAAAAGTTCCTGAGCACCTTGGAGGGCAGTTGGAAGTCTCTCAAGCGTCTGAGGTGGTAGAGACGCTGTCGGGCCTTTTTCACCACGGTGTTGATGTGACAGGACCATGACAGGTCCTGCGTGATGTGATATTTTATACATTATTATATATTATGTTATATAATAATGTATGTAAATAGAATTATATTAAAAAAAATTTAATCAGGAAAAACCTGCTGGGTTGGATTTTAGGCTTTTTAACTGACAAGTCACGAAGAGTGAGAATAAATGGTGTGCTGCCTGACCCAGTGTTCTCCTCCACGGTGCGTCTTATCGCCCTTATTATTCATTCTCTATACAAACACGAGCAGATATGCCGCCATCATTTAACTTAATAACTGTTTTTTGATTTAATTCATCTTGTCTAATTATTACCAAATGTGTTTAAATAGGTGTGCGTTTTGTGAAGGGGTGTCAAATGCTATAATGTTTCTGTAAAGCAAATCTACCAACGGGTATAAATAAAGTAACCTTGAACCTGAATTATAAATAAATTTAGATTTGGTTGTAACTTCATTGCTGCTGTGAGAACAATAAGAAACTTAAGGTTGTTCAATTTCCCCATATCTCTTTCTCCTGGTTGGTTCACCTCTGGGCTGTCAGAAAAAAATATTTAATAATAATCCCATTAAAGGAATTTCTTTACCTGGGCAAGAATTGATTTTAGCACAGAGCCTTCTTTTTAAAGGACGACACCCAAATTCCTTAAGCTAAAAACAAAACAAAGCATCAGGTCTCTTACTTAACATCAATAAATTTAAACTAATCACAATTAAAGACTGTTCTGAAAAAATTAAAATTATAGAAGACTTTTGTTGTTGTATGCCCCATTTTGGGGCTTCCAGTCAATTCAAACAGATGATTTCAAAATCTTTGTTTCCATATGTACCCGTTTTTAGGGTTAAGAGCAGGATATTAACCAGGCATAATTTTACCCTCTTTTCAGTAACCTATACTTGACACCGTAATCAAACTGGAAATTGTTTTTGGTAGGGGGGGGGGGGGGGTCTAGAGGGGATGTCAATGAAGACTGCACCCTGTGCTGTTCTACTGTAGAGCAGCTTATTCTCACACACAGCTCCAGTTTGTTCCTCCTGGAGCCACTGTTGTGTGCCCCCCCACCACCACCACCAGTCCAGTTGCACTGTATGACCAGGAGAGATCCCCTGTGATTTAGGTCTAATCAGTGTATTAGAGTAGGGAGCAGCTTGTTTCACGTTAGGTCTTGAGATTTTTGCACAAACTACACCAAAACCCACTTAACCATCCCTTTAAAGCTTTCTGATGCAGTCAGTCCTACAGGGTCTTGATACCAAAATAAAAGCACACAGATCTCACATTTAAGTATCTTTTATTGAAGCATTAAGCTCATAGCACAGATATTTAGCACATCTTGACCATCCAGAGAACAGATAAATGAATTAGAACAGCAAAGTTGCTCATTCAGTACAACCTGCAACTGTACCCTCACAAGCAGGAGGCTTTCCTGGCTTCCGTTTCCTTGAATTCACAAAGCAAAGTGATAACATGATCTAGTCAACTTGGAAACGGTCATCCCTCAAGTAACTTTGTTGGAACATCGTTTTCACAAAAACATCTAGAACCAAAGGGCAGAAAGAAAAAAATTAAAAATAAAATTGGTCCGCAGCAGAAATACAAAATATTTTGTATAAAATTCAATTACCATTAAACTGCAAAATAGAGATCACCATATAAAAACACCAACGATCCACACCAACAAGGCTGAAATGCACTTAATCCAACAGCTAGCATACCATTTCTGTTGCTAGATGGAAATTCTTAAAAAATATAAATCAGACTACCATTACAAGTCATTTAATCTTAAATTGAAGGAAAAAAAAAAAAGAAAACCAAAAAGCCACGTAGCCACACTAGAGGGACACTTTTCAAAATTCCTGCCCTTATAGATAAATTTACCAAGTGCTAGCTTGACTAGCATGCTAAGTTCCTTAGATGATGTCAAGTGCTGAAATCAGGATAAAACTATCACATCTGCAAGATTCTAACAGCATTCTCTGGCAGGAGAAGCTAAACCTTAGCTGTAGTAGGGTATCAAATAAAAACAAAACCACAAACAAGACTGAAACTTCTCCTGCTTTTAGCACCTGTCTGAAGCCTGAAATCTATAAGAGTTAGACAGGTACATGAAATTTATAAAAAAATTAAAATAAAAACCAAAACAAAAAGGGGGAATAAAATACAAACAAAACCACCTATCCAACATGTACCAGGTTGGGGCAGTTCCAACTTTCACCTTGTAAAACAAGAGGAAGGTGAAGCACACACACTGACAGCAGAGACAGCGCTACATTACACTGTTGAGCAACACGGCACTAGTAGTCACATGCAGTGTGTCAGGATTCCCCTTGCAAACAAAGGGCATTGACCCAAATGACAAAAAGAAAAAAGTGAGGGCACAATAAATTTCATAAATGGCAGTTTATGTAGTGGTTATATGCGGAATGATCTGGGACCACCCTGGCATGCTCAGACTAGTGGGCCTCTTTTGTGCGCTTACATCTCTGTATGTGGCAGAAAGAGACAGGGTGGATATTATGTTTGGGGGGATGCTTTGGTGGGCAACTAAAGCAAAAAGTGTCTGATTCATTATTTCCTTTCAGAGCTGAACACAGTGCGAGTGGCCAGGAGGGCTGGCTCTCGGTGGGCTGGGGCTGAACAATGGCCGGTCAGCAGAGGGCATTGTGAGCGCGTTGTCTGGAGTCGTACATTCAGCTCAAACCTGTTCCAGGCTTTCTTTCCAGAGAAATGTACATTCGAAAGATGGCCGAGCAAGCCGCTCTGCACGGCCTGTGCTACATTCAGGTTTTTGTTTTTTTTTAAAAAACCCTCTGTGAATGCTGCATGACTGGGTTGAAATATCTAGATGCTTCCTACAGATGTGGGCCAATGTAAAATGTTCAAGCTCAGATCTGAAGTGTATAAGCTGAAAGTTTACCAAAGAACAAAACTGCCAAAAAACAAAACCTGACCAATAAGATGAGAACTTTTGAACCTTTAGTGCAACATCAAAGCAAGATGGCATTTCAAAGACAATCCCACAATGCCCAAGCTCAGCACAACTTGAGCTGAGGTGATTTGCCTCCAAGTACCTTGAGTAAACAGGGTTTTAAAATAAACTCAGTAACAGAGTAGAGAAATAGTCATGCTAACTAGGTGGGTGGGTGCAATTTGAAGTTTAAACCAATGGATGAGATCTAAAGTATGCTCATAAGAGGCGGACTGATCTGAGCACGTCAGGGTCCTGGTCTAGGGTGGGCGGAAACCTTGTCTGTGGGGAATGAGGGGGGACACCTGCAGGAAGGGACCATTGTACTGGGCACAGGTGGACAGCCTGAAACAGAGCGTGTTTAATACCTCTACATGCACTTCAAGATCACAGCAAGAGTGGGCTAGAATATCGTAACAGAGAAAAGAGCTTTCATGCAAGGGATCTAAGTCACGGGTACAACAATGCAAACAACTCAAACTGGAAGTTAAAGTAGGGGCAGCAGCGCCATCGCTGACACCAGGACAATCTGGATGGTGACAGCAGCAGCGGGGAGGGTGGGACAGGAGAGACGATGATGACAAGCTCGCTACTCTGTGGTGAAGCGCATTGCAACGTGGGAGCGCCGAGGCGCCACGTTTTTTGCGCCTCTTCATCCTCGACCCTCAGCTCTGCTGCTGGTTCTGCTGGCGATTCTTGGTGTAGCTTGTGAAGACAAAATTGTAATCGTTGAATTGAGCCAACTGGCGGTCGAGGCGCTTGTAGCCCTCCATTTTTGGGGGAGTAGAAAAGACACTGCGACATTTAGAGCTCTGCAGGAGAAAAAACAAAAACAAACCACTTTACAGGAAGCCGTTTAAAATCCCCCCGGGTAGATTGTGGAACAGTTTACCTCCTCACGTCAGATTCTCCAAAAGCCTAGAAACTTTTAAAACTGCTCTTAAAACTCACCTCTTTTCATTGGCTTTTAGAAAGGTTTAATTTATTTGTTTATTTATTTGATCAGCGAGGTGTTTTACAAAATTGTGTTCTATTGTATTTTTATCTGTATTTACTGTACAGCACTTTGGTCAGCCTTGGTTGTTTTTAAATGTGCTCTATAAATAAACTTGACTTGACTAGATGCAAAAATTGGATTTGAAATGCACCTGATTGACAAAGAGTGTAGTCACAAATTTTCCTGGCTTGAACACCTCCACAACCTTCCTGATCAATTCATCGTATGATGTCTGGGAGAGGTTTGTTTCAAAGCTGACGTAGGAGAACTCTGGCTCTGGGGTGATGTGGATGGTCCAGTAGGTTCCCTGTGGGGAAAATGAGCAAAGTCGCATCACTGATTTGCTTGAGCGCGCAACTATGATGAAGAAACAAAATGCCACTCACGTCAGTCTTCATCCCGTTCATCGAGTATCCACAAGGGTTGAACATTGTGGCATCAATCACAGAACCTGGAATCAGGTCACGAATTCCACTCATCTGCGAGAACAGAACGAGACCGTGATTACGAAGGTTAAACTACTACCACATGCTTGTTCTGAGGGGGAAACCGGGGGAAAACTTACACGAGTGACCTCACTTGCGGAAACACCGTCTTTCATGTAGAACTGGTCCATGATGGCTGGATCAAGGTCGCTCATCAGAACTTCCAGCGTCTGATCAGCACACTTGTTCTCCCAGTACTCTGGCATATCCAGAGTAAACAGGTACCTGTGGGAGAGATGCAAGGGGGCATTAAAGATTTTCAAACCTGGACAATGCATGGAGCTGCTACCTATGAGAGGAGGCCTTGAACATCCTTTCAAACTAAAGGCTTTTCACCTCCCTCATGAATTGGCATTACCAACATTCACTGACAAGTGCTGAACTCCAGAAACCACAAATATTTAATTATATTTCATGACTGAAAATCTTGACCATCTTAGCTATTAGCATATTAAGCCAATGTGGGATATTTTAATGCTCACCAGCAGTCAGAGTTCAAACGTCCCATACAGTAGGCTGCACCATCTGTAAAAGGAGGGAATGTTATGGTTACCGTTTATAATCAACAAAAACATTAGGCAGCTCTGAAGAGAACCCACAATGATAAAATTAAGCTACACAGAATTACAGTCTGTGATAATACTGAATTTCATTGTCCCCACAGCTATAGTATAAGCAATGCACTCCATAGTCTCAATATTACAAGCAACATTTGTTCTTAAATGATTAAAACAGCTTGGGTAGAGATGATGATCACAGATACATGATTACCTGATCTATAAAAACAAACCTAAGATTTGCATTAATCAAAATCAGGGTGTGTCTTATGATTGGATATTTAAATGTTCGCTAACCCCGCTAGTCAGTGCCAAACAGTTTTATTACTTTATTCATGAGGGTAAATACATGACAGCTATGTTAAGCAGTGCTGCTCTGTAGTTCTTTTGTGCTAAAAAGCTGCATGTTGGTGTTGTCAGAATAAACTATAAAACCAAGTTGTCAATGTTAGCATAGGAGAAGCCTACTGCTAAGATTATGTTTGATCAATGAGGAATGTGCTAATTGCTTAATACAGCTAACACATGAAGTGTTTGTTGGTTAACGTTTCACTTTGATCATTTAAAGTGTGTTTGATTTCAATTTTTTGTGGGGGTAGTGGTTGAGGAGTTCTGTCTTTTAGATTTGTCAACTAGTCCAGCTTTTTGTTTAAACAACTAGCAGATTGTTTGCCAGGAGCAGCCATAAACCGGGAACTGCCCTGGGCATTTTCCAGCTGTAAATTCAGAGCGTCAGGGATTTAACAGACTGTGCTACAAACACCCTTTACTAGGGCTGTGCGATATGACCAAAATCTCATATCCTGATATAAGAATTCTATCGTCCCGATAACAATATAAATCACAAAAATGTAACATTTTCTATAAATTCTGTGAATTTCTGGCAGCTCGACTTGCGGGAAGTGTTTCCAGCTGTGCAGCATGTACCCGGAGTCAAGTGTTTTAACCGATGCATGAAACTATACATTTTTACACATAAGTTGTAACGGCCGACGTTTTCTTTGCGAGTATTTATTACACGGCGTGCTGTGGGGAAAAGCCTGTTCTAACAATTGAGTCTTAGGATTATTTTTTTTAGCACCTGGCGGCTCTTTTTTACTTCTCATCTGTAAATAATCTGCTCTTTCACGTGATTCAGTTTATTTTGAAAAGTCTCAACAGGATCTTGAGATTTATTGTGAAAGGTTTATGTGGAACATAAACAAGCGGACACGCGATGGTGTTACCGTCGTTGTTACTAACGACAACGCATAAAAACAGGCGCTTGTCCGTCTGTAGTGTGGTTATATTAAATAATATCAACTTTAGGAAATTAATATAGCCACTACAGTGACCATCAAAACGATGAAAAAAAAAAAATTGCTGTAAATAGTTTATTTTGCGACACGACGAAACATAACGTAAAATGAAACGATAGACGTTTTTATATCATCATCATCCGATATATATCGTTATATCGAACAGCCCTACCCTTTACTTGCGTGTGTAACACACTTCAGAGTTTCATGTATCACGTACTGGGAAAAATCTGGCTGAGGAAGTCCACTTCTTCCTGGAAGTTTCGATGAGGGAACTCTTGATGGGCTGGTTTCATGAAGTTCTTACGGGAGTAGAAGAAATTCTGCAAACGAGACACTAATGAATAAACCTACGCAACTAATCAGCTTCATTGATACAGCTCGTTCAGATTGAGATGAAATAAGCTTTGTCATGCAAATGCTACACCAGTCTAACCTCAATGGTGTCGAAGCCGCAGTACTCCCTGGCGAGTTCCAGCAGAGGCACCAGTGCTTGCAACAAGAGGGTGGTTCCGCATGTCTTCAAAATGAAACGTCTCTTGGAGACAAACATGCTACTCTCACTGTAGAGACAAGAAAGGAGTTAGTCACCAATAACCTCAGAGCATCGTTTTCCTCATTATATTCTATGATACATAATGATGATTAAGCCTGGTATCTTTGTAATATTTACCTAAAATGAGCAAACCAAGCCCCTCAGCTACTCATTCGTAAAATGAAATTTTACTATTGATGCGTGTAATAGAGGTCCGGTATTCGTTTCTATATTTGTTTCGCCTTACTACATTGCAGAGCAGTAATGGGGAAGGTAAAACTTCAGTGAAGGCTTTCTCTCCTTTTTAATGGGGAAAGGAAAAAAGGTGGACAGGTGAGCAAAAGGAGGAAGAGAAAAAGCCACACCCTAGTTCCCATTCAACTTGTCATACTTGTTTGATTACCCAAGAGGAGTTAAGCTTACTGGCTTCAGTTTTAGCTTCATGTTAGTTTTATCTGACATGCTCATACTTGGCCTACCTTAACACAACTACACATTCATATAAGCACTGCATGTGACATGTAGAGTACATGCCCATACTGACACCTGAGACTGTCATTAATGGAAATTAGGTTAAGGTCTAGTTGGAAAGACTTTCTGCAGGTATTGAGCAGGCACTCACCTGAGTATATAAGCTTCCTGCTTGTCAGTCTTTGTCACACTTATTATCAAACAATGCACATTTTCCAAGAGTTTGTCCCACTCAAACCTGAAAGAAAAAGAACACAAGTTAAATGCACACAAAGACAAAGTTGTTCTCTTTTGAGGTCATTTTAAAGTGGCACCCACTACAGGAAAGAACTATTGATGGTTATGTAACATGGCCAAGTTTGAAATGTTTTCAGGATTTTGAACAGAAATGTCTATAAAGCTTGCTGTAGTCTTTACACTGAAAAAGTAAGTGCATATAACAATTTCAGTGCCAGAGTATGCTCTGGGCATACAATACTGATGATATCAATAGAGGTATTGTTCAGACTGAAATGTGTTTTCCACCATGTGCAGATGGCTGTAGGGTAATGTGGACTTATTCTGCACCTACAGCAGACACACCTTCTAGCAGCTGCCTCGGCCCCCCCCACCCCGGACACCACCCAGACAGCTGGGTCACATTACAACCTTGGAACAGCAGCCAAACCCATTCACAGTGGGGGCCTGGGCTGCAAGACAAACGTTCCAAGAAATAAAGTGTTCGATGAAAGCATACCAGCAGCTCAATGAATGCTTTATGAAACTGGCTTTTCTAGAGAACCTCTCAAAAAGAAATGCCCCTCAGTAACCAGACTGCAGCAGTATGCGTAAAGGCTGTGGGCAAAAATGCAAGACCCAATTATGTTCCTTTCTACATGGTCAATCTACAAATGAACTAGATGACTGAGGAAACTCACACAAAACACAAATAAACAATGCATCTCTCAGACATTGTTCTAAAGACAACAAAATCAAGAATACAGTTCACACTGCAGCCTTTTGTATTCGGGCCTAATGGCCCAAGAAACTAAACTACAAATATGTTTACTACCTTCCAGTACCACAAACAACACTTCATCTAATCCCTTAACAACATTGTCCTCAGAGAGTGACAGGCTTACGTCATCTATTGTGAACATCACTTCCTCTGAGAGGGTGGGGGCAAAAGAGCTAGGTATGGTATCACGGAGTCAAATGTGCTCCAATATCAAGTTTCAAATAAGGTCAACACATGAACAAGTAAACAGTTTTTTGTTTTTTACACTTCCAGCCCAAAACACCACCAATTTAAAAATCTGGTTTTTAGTTTGTGCATAAGAAAATTGTGTAAAAGGATGTGAATGATTTCAAAACTGCACGTCTCAGAAGATAAACAAAGGTCCTGCACCGAGGACCAACATTGGAGCAAGATGATATAAACTCTAAATCATGCTATAAGCTACTCTAAATCTGGCCATGCAGGCGATGTGCCTTTAAGATGGCTTTGTTATACACCAGCTTCTCTTTGGCATTGTCCTTAATGCAAAGACTCAACATCTTTAGTTTGCCATCAAGGCCAAGCCTGATGAGAATGGGTGTATATCATAGTACCATCTAAACTCTGCAAATGATATAATATGATTAAGTAATGTTCATCTTCCAAATACACTGTTGACAAAGGCATTACAGGTATGTCTGGATACAGTTCAGCTCGATCACTTCCCGCAACATAACAGAGCTGTTGCGACATGCCTACTTCCCAGTTTCATACCAGAGGCCAAGCATTAGCAAGCTGTGTCAGCTCCTGCCTCGGTGAGAAATCGACACCAGAGGTTATTTCTAGCTGTGCAACAAGATCATATTTTCCTCAAAGAAAGCAAAGCGCCAAACCTGTTTTCATGCATCCCAGAGATTATGAACACATGGCTGATCAAGAGAACACATGTTGGAACGTTTGCCACTTATCAGACAGAAAAGTGGTCACTTACTGGATGGCTTGAACACAGGGAACAGTAAATTTCTCAGGTGTTTAGAGGTGAATATGCTATGACTTTATGAACCAGTCTCCCCTACAATGACTGGAAGTGCTTGGTATGCAGTCTGAACCCTGACAAGTGGCAGCAGAGGTAATGTGAGCAAGCTTCACATTTGTGAATCAGATGCCCTTGTGGTCTTATTTGGACATTGGCTAACGTCCATCGAGTCTGATCCACTGACAGTGTCCCTTTGAGCCGTTAATCTGCCCTCTGGCTGTAAATTAATGCCAGCTTTCCTTTACTCCAATGGTTATGCACTTGTCAAACCAGCCCCTGATCTGGTCATTAACCAGAAAAAGTCACCCATCACTGGAGATGATTTGGCCTCCTTGAACCAGTCATGAAATGACACACTGCCAGAGAAAAAAAAAAAAAAAAAAAAAAAATTAAAAACAAAACCCTAAGCAAAGGCAGTGGACACCATTAACACTTTCACTTACTCTCACCTTACATTAAAGAATCAGTACCATTCTTACCTCTATAGGTGACATAACCCAGGTGATTTTAAACAATCTATTTGTTTTTACAGTGGACAAGTTCCACTAAAGTCTGGGAAGCAAAAAATTATTATGACACACGGTACAAATCTGCCTTTAAGGTTTCTCCTTGTTAAAGGTTGTTTAAAACGTGCATTTCAAACCAGCTAATTTTGCTAGCAAGCAAAAACCGAATTTCTCACAAGAACTGAACCCACATGGATTTTTCAGAATCCATGCCGCCCCGGGTCCTCCCCCCCCGTCTTTAAACGTAACCAAGTGCCCCGCGGCACAACGTAACAGGGAACCCTCTAACCAATCAGAGCAACTAGGAGCGAGAGCACCGCGTGGCCGAAAACGTGAACACGACTTTACGCAGTTTCTCTCTGGTTAAACAGACAGCGGTAACAGACCTGGGGTCAGCCTTTAGCAACCGCATGGGCAGAGGGAAAGGTTGACGGTTTTCCCCAATCACTTATGAGCCTTAAAAAGTAAAGAATTTAAAAAAATAAAATAAAGGTGGAATTGGAATACTTGAATCTATTTCCGTGCCAGCAAGGCACGCGGTGACAACGGACGACCACATGTCTCACATGCCCCCCTCGTTGTAGAGTGACGCAGGAAAAAATAAAGCATATGTAATTACAAAGCCCAAGCAATTTAGTGCACACGAGCACGAATATATATAGCAATTGGCAAATAACGACAATAAGATCGCCTCATCACTAAATCACAAGCAGTCTGGGAATTCAGCGTCGGAGAATTCAGGAGACGGCTGATAATTTGAATATTTTTCCTAGGGACTAGCTTAAATGAAGTAGCTCTAAATTGGCTGTCATGGTGGCGTCCAAGCCTCATGCGACAAATCATCTCGCAAAAACAAGCGATGGGAGCTGAATATATTAATTACCGCAAGCTCCCAGGGTGAAGAATGAATGACTCAGCCACTGTTAAAAGGGGGAGGTGTCCATTTTCCAATGGCGACGTTAGCTAGCTCCCCAGCTTAAGGATCCACGGTTAGATTTGGTTCACTTCAATGCTTGCCGTCTATGAAGGGGTGGATTAATAACTATAAGGAATACAGTGTAAACGGAAACGGGACTGTACAATATTCAAGTTGTTATACATCTCAAAAAGTGACCACTGAAGCCGTGCATGTAGCCGGTGTTTCTGTCCATGTACCACTAGGCTGCTGTGGACTGACACTGCCCCGGAGACACTCAAGTAACACGAACCTTGGGATGGTACGGAGGTCTCCGTTTCCTTTGGTCTCATCCTGCCGAGAGAACCACACCTCCAACAGCTTCTCGGTCCCCTCGAAGAAATGTGCACCGTTATCTTCCATCGTGAGACAACAGACACCCAACAACCAAAAATATTACAACGTCGTTTATAACGTTTACAGCTTAATTACTCCTTCCTCGACCTGTTATTATTTCGCGAGGTTCAGTCCTTAAAACAATCCAGGAGTTGATTTGCTTGAGTTACCGTCTTCCCTTTAGCAGAGAATACCGTTAGCGAGCGCTAGCTAATATCGCCGGCCATACTGTGTAAGCGCTGAATGGAGACCGCGCGGAGCTTTTATTTAGCAATAGCCCTACGTAAGCCTCACCTCGAGCCAATCTGAACGCGAAGCCATATCTTGGGATTTGTGATTGGTCAGAAACCTATCAATTATAATAGAAGGCGGGTCTTCCGTCATGAAACTTTTCCGCCTGCATGTAGCTTTCCTCTGGAAATACATACTAATTATATATATATATAAACATCAACATTACATGACATCTGGATTTAAGTTTACGAAGGCCAGTATGACAGTTGACGGCATGTTCGTGTAAAAGTCCTTTTCTGATAAGTTTTCTTCTGTTCACGACGATTACGTAACTTTTTTTCTAACACAAGCCATTGTGTTTACTTATCACATTAATTTTTCGTATGTACGCTCTCTCTTTTTTAAGCTGTATAATTTGTTTTTTTCACTTAATGGTACTATAATACTGATATTAAACTGCGAATATCAGATATAAACCACTTAAATGAGAATATGACCAAGTTGTTAAATTGGATTGAACTAAACTGGACTGCGCAGGTATTCGTTTTAGCAAAAGAGTGTACTTATAGAAGGAAAACAGGTGAAAGAACTCCCAAAGGATATTACATATCTACTGTATGTGTTACAGGACTTGTCTCATCTCATTGTGTTCCGGGCAGTGGGAACTCACACATACAATTGTCACCCAATAGAATGACAGTAATTAAGTATGAATCACATACATATGACATGACGTCACTCATCTACATATACAGGTGTGTGTGCATGTCAAAAACCTATCGATTATTATAGAAGGCAAGGGTCTTCCATCATGATGTTTTGTTTTTTCATAACCTTTATTTATGGAAGACATTTCATATGTTTACCACTAACTGCACTAAACAATTTTCTTGTTTTTCTTTTTTTGGCTGACTGTAGTTCACAAAAGTAAAAAATGAATCTAAATCTCTAAAGAAAACTGTGTCTTAAAAAGAGATGCAGCGACCTACTTAAACCCTTAGATGCTTATCAGAAAAAACATCAGCTAAAATAACAGTTAAGAAGTTGGAAAACTAATATTATCCCCCGAAAAAACAACCCCAGAAACACCCAGGATGTTTGCACATATCCTTAAGTTACACATAGCACTTGATATCTTTAAACAATTTGTAATAGGTCCCATACCCTTCGGATCACATTGAGTTTGGTGGGAAGTGGTCACTCTAACTATATTAAATGAATACACTGCATATGTACACAGTTGTTCAGCTTTTGCAATACCATTATTATTATGACCATTAAATAATAATAATAATAATAATAATAATAATAATAATAATAATAATAATAACAATAATAATAATAATAATAACAATAATAATAATAACAATAACAATAATAATAATAATAATGATGATGATGATGATGATGATCCAGATAACGAGGATCCGTTTAGCTCATTTATTTATTCATCTTACGTGACGTTAAAAAAAGGTAACCTCAAACCACCGACGGCCGCATTTTTGAAGAGCTTTCATGAGTACGCAAAGTGCAACGAACAGCAGCGAGAAACGCGGGTTGTAGTTTGCCATAGCTTGCCTGACAACGCGGCAAACTGCGGCGCCTGCTCATAAGAACTACCATACCCAGCGAGCCACGCGCGCCAATTAGAAACGTCAACGAGCCAGTGAACATTAAGCGGAGCAGACCAAAATCCCAAACAAGGAAATGGTGGGGGAATAAAACGACCAGATTATTTAATTAATGCATGTTATAATTAATATTTTATTTTATTGTAAATTAAGGCGTATTTATGGGTTAAAATGGATTACGACTTCAAAACAAAGCTGGCGGCGGAGAGAGAGAGAGTAGAAGATCTGTTCGAATATGAAGGTTGCAAAGTGGGTCGAGGCACCTACGGGCACGTTTATAAAGCTAAGCGCAAAGACGGGTAAGATAACCGTGAACGTTATTGTGTATGCTGACATAAAACTGACCGCGGGATGCATTTTGTGAACACACGCCTCGGTTATGTGCTGAACGGGGCGTTCGATTTGAAGCTCCCCGAAGCGATAGCCCGTGTCTCTGTGTTTTTGTTTTCATGTAACGCACTCACTCACCAACGGTCCCCCCCACCACCTCCGTCCCCAACCTCAGAGCTCCCCCCTTTCCTCCTCCTCCTCCTCCCCAACACCCCCAAACAACAATGTAAAGCCGCGGTGCTGTTTATTTTCTGACAAGTGTCCTGTCGGCGGTCGCAGCAAAGGTAGCTTCTATCGTATTCTATCGTCACTTCGCGCAATAGTGACACCTGAGCGGCTTTTCTTGGCCCCGTTTTCAGCATCGTGGAGTGCCAAACTTTTTTTCTCCCTCTTTCTGACACACATTGTTTTCTCTCTGCCATTTGCTGCTTACACTCACTGACAAGCATATGACAGCGTGTGACCACGATGTATATATCAGCAACAGAAAGCAGGACAGATATGTTCTCACATTTCTGCTCTGCTGTGCCAACGGTGTCAATGTTCCTTATGCAAACTGGCAAAATCCCAGTCCAAAAAAGTGGCAGAATCTGGCCAGTGCGCTTCCTATTTGAATACTACAAGTTTCATTTGTACGATAGCCAAAAGGTTAATCACTCTGATCTAAAAATTACATTCAAGAAAAGCAGCGTTAACCAAGGGCACAGTGCATTAAGAGCTGATTTTGCTGCCCCCGTCTTCCAAATGCTTTGTCATAAAGTTTTCTCGAAATCTGAGATGGAGAAACTAATTTTAAGCATTAGATGAACTTATTATACAGATGGCCCAATTTGACTTCTTCCCATGTATTACTCGTTTTAGAATAGAATAGAGTAGAATGCCTTTATTGTCACCATACAGTTGTACAGTGAGATAAAGAGCATGTATAAAAATGTACAAATATACAATCCGGTGTAAGAAGAAAAAAGTAAATATGTAAATAAATTGTTTTTTCCAGTCATGGCAGATGGCTGTCTCTCCTTGAGCCTGGTTCTGGTTTCTTCCTGTTAAAAGGGAGTTTTTCCCCCCACTTTTTGCTCAAAGGGGGTCATTTGATTTTTGGGTATTTTTTCTATATTACTGTGGGGTCTTTAATCTTACAATATAAAACATCTTGGGGTGACTGATGTTGTGATTTGGCGTTATATACATAAAATGGAATGGAATGGAATTGTCAGTGTTGTTATAGCAAAGCTAAACACTGTTTTATTACCAGTAGGAACAGTATCACTCCAATTAGATCCAACCTAAAAGGAATGTCACAGGGAACAGCTAGCTTTTCCAGATTTATAATAGCCATTATCAAGTCAATATTCATAACTGGTTAAGAATACACATAAAACAGTTGTTTTTTGTTCATGTTTGTATAGCTATGGTTATAAAATGTCTGCACCTCCATGCACTTGTATTTTAAATATATTTTGTATTTTTCCAAAGAGATTAAAAAACATGAAATAAAGTTAAAGCTTTATTAGCTTTATTTCTTTCAACGTTTTGTCTGTATTGCTGTGATAATGCTAATGTGGCCATAACCGCTATAGACAACTCAAATAATACAATTATTATTAACATTTTAAAATCTTTGTAATAGAATCAAATTAAAATTTACCCAAGCTGTTAAAGAAGGCCTTTTCTTCTTCACGTACTTTGAGAATTGATGTATTAAAAACTTTTACAATCACTCAGTGTCTTTAAAATCTGAAACAGTTTAGGTTTGTAGATCAGTCAGTTAGACTGTTTCTTCCTCACTGTGTTTGTTAATATTGCAATATTGTAACTTTATCAGCAGTGTAGATATGTTGGATTTAAACAAAGTGAGCCTAAAAGCAATGTTAAGCTACTTGACTCTAGTTTAGCCAATAGTTCGATGGAGTAACATAAAGTAGACAATTAACCACTGGTATTGCTTTAGTTAGTGGGCCGAGTTCATGTAAAACTAAGGGGGCATTAGTGCTTTCCAAACTATAAACTCAATAATAAATTCTTTCATCTTTAATAAAATGATCAGTGTTGCTGCTTTGTCAGGTGTAACAATTAAGTTTAACATCCAGACATCCATGAAAACAGAATTTATTACATTTAACGGAGTTAGAAGTTAGCAGGAAGTTAGCTTGCTAGTTTCCACGTAAACATGATATAGCATGTTCTGAATGAGAGATTTCTGAAAAAAATAAAACTTACAGCTCTGCCATCACTTCCAACATAAATGAAGACAAAACTAAACAGCAGTGACTTTTGTAGGGTTAGTGAAGTTGGGCTAGCTGGTAATGATGTGCTACGCAATCGCTAGCAACACAGCTATGTTAGCATTATGTAAATACAGTGAAGCTGGAGGATGGATGCTAACTTTTTTCCACCTAATAGCATCCTGCCAAACAATCGCATGGCAGGATGCTATAAACAGACCAAACTTCAGTCAGGAGAACAACTGCGATAATCCATCCACAATATGAGGTTAGTCATTAATATACTGCAACAACATGGGAATAGAGCAGCTGCGAGAGAATTCCGCACTAATGAATCAATGGTACGGAAGTGGAGGAAGCAAGAAGAATGAGTTGAGTAAAATTTGACGGTTTAGTTTTGCTTAATGCGCCTTATAATCCGGTGCGCCTTATGTATGAAAACAGACACGTTCATCGACAGTGTGCTTTATAATCCAGTCCGCCATAAGGTCTGAAAAATAAATGTATCCAGGCCCAAGACGGGAACTTAAAATACTGAATGTGGTCGTTGTTTCTGTTCTTGACAGAGCTGTCGTCATTCAGAAATTTGACAGACAGTTGGATTTGACCCTCAGAGGATGAAAGGCCCTGAGAATAAAGAGCGTTATAAATTCCCAGAAATGTGAACCTGTTAATGCTTAGCAAAGCCTCCTTTTCCCAGTACCCAAAATGTTACTCATGACTTACCCCAGTTTTGCAGCAGAATTTAAAGTAATGGATAATTTTCATTGTTTGCTGCTTTCTCAACTTAAGAAAGCTTAAGG